TTTTTGTCACTTGTGTTTTTTGTAAAATTTTAAGAAAAAACAAGCACTTATCAATGACAATAAAAACATATTTTTAAGCATAAAACCCGAATTTGTACCATGATTAATATATATGATTTGTATAATTATTCAAGTCGTCATAAAACAAAACTTGATAAAACACAAAAAATAAAACAACACAGTAACAAAGTTAAAAACATTTTTTATGATTATAAAATAAACATTTTGATTGTCCAAATAATCTAGCTTATACACAATCATGACTTTAAAACCAATGGTTAAATACAAATTAAAATCACAAATAAAATTATTTAATAAAATATAAGAATAAACACTGAGTTACCCATTAAGTTGACCAACTTTTATTGTATATGATAACCTCAATTAAATTATAAACATGACATTAACTCAATAAATGAGAACATCGGGTGCATTTTATAAGTTTTTCTTGGCTTTTAACATTGAAAAATACACGAGAAGATATCGAAAAAAATGTCTGATCCGACCAAAAATATCAACAATATAGTAAATGAATATAGTTTTTTTTAATTATTAATAACTATATTATACATATAAATAAAACAGGTGATGTTTTTTTTTGAAAACAACAATAGTAATATTTATTAAACAATTATAGTATATAATTAATGTCTTTTTGTAAAAATTTAACATTTAAAAGAATAGTTTAATTGTTATATTAAAGCTATTTATTATTAACATTCAACATAACCCCATAATTATAAATTAAAATATACATTCAATTCAAAAGATAGAGGAATACATAAAACGTAATTTAAATGTTCGTAAGGTGGGTTTGGTTTAACTTGGATTGTTTTCATAATGTAATAATTATAATTAATGATTTCTATAATGACAAGATTGTTAAAATTTGTAATAAATTGTAGTTATCTAAATTCTATGTAAATAATACTGTTAATAATAACATATTAAAATCATTAATTTACATGTTAATAAATAAAAAATATACCAGTCTAGTTCGAATATATTATAAAATAATTTTATATACTATTAAATTAAATACAACATTTTTTTATTAACATTATTATTTCAAATTGTTTTATAATAATGTATTATTTATTTTTGAATATAGTACATTTATCGTTTTTTCGTTAATTAAACCACCTATGTTTGGAATAAACAAATAATTTGTAATTTAATAGTTTATAAATAGTTAATAAATGGTTTATCAAATGTTTTATTCTCCAAACAATTTGAATCTTTTTATACATTTCAATAAAAGTTCAATGTTTATGATTTGAAAACAGCTTCGAATTGTTTCTTATATCGAGAAAAGTACAAAGACAATATTATTAACTTTTCTTTAAAAAAATGTAATTTATGTACACAAATCTATTTTAGGAAGTGTACGAGTATTTTCTGGTGTACGACAATTTTCTGGTCGACTTTAATAGTAAAATTTTCATAAAATAATTTAATTTATTATTTTGTCTTAATATATAATTATTAAAAACTAATATATTATAACAAAAATTTGTTATAATATATTTATTAATATTTTTTTAAATTACTTAATACCCCATAATTGTTCATTTTGATAGTAATGTTATTCAAAAGATAAAGAAAAACAGATGATGTAATTGATTGTTCTTAAGGTGGGTTTGGTTTGACATTTATGTTAATTATAATTTAATATAATAATAATTTGTGAATTTTAATAAAATAAATAAAAATTTAATATATAATAATATAATTGTTAATATTCAAGTTATAAAATACTTATCAATTATTAAAAATGTTAATAAATTGATGCGCATTAAAAAAATAAAATGAATAAAACAAAAAATATCGTGATGAGTAAATTCAATTGTGTACTATTGTTTTAAAAAAATATAATTTGTATAATAATTTTTTTATGAAATTAAACTATAATTAATGATTTTATAATGGTTAATATATAATTTAAATTCTATAAATAGAACGTTTTGTTTAATTTTACTATTGTATATGGTTGTATTTAATTCAAAGAATAGTTTTTAAAGTTGATATTATATCA